TCAAGATACATCATCAGAAATACATCATGATATATCCCTCCATTCCATCCACTTAAGATCAAACACATCAAACACATCAAACACATCAAACACATCAAACACGACCACCTGCAACGATGAAGGGCAAGGGCGGCTATGGCTATGGACAGGAACGATGGGAGCGGCATGGTAGTTTTAACTGGGTCGTCCCAGAAAATCTGGCTATTTGCCCTTGAAAATCGTGACCCAAACAGAAACATTTGATTCCTGACAAGTTGGGCCTGACAAATTCTAGGGAATTGTAGTGAATATAGGGATACTTTAGATACCATTCCTTTAAATATAGTGAATCTAGTGGAAAATGGGGGGAATATAGTGGAAAATCATCTATCAATGATGGGAATCATAAGGACTACCCTCTGGTAATGACTAACGTAGCTATTGGAAATTGCCATTTAGTTCGTTGATTTACCAATGAAAGATGGTGGATCTTTCCATAGTTATGTAAACGTTTGCCAGAGGGTAAACCCACCATTTTTTCAGATCAGATTTGAAGATGATGGCCGCTCTTTTTTGGAAATTGGTTTACCATCTGGTTATTTGACATAGCCATAGAAAATCACCATTTTTAATAGGTAAACCATCTATAAATGGGCCATGGCTTCCATGGCTATGTTAGTCATGACCAGATGATATTTTGATTTCTTCCTGATCGAAATTCCGAAATTGATGACAGAAATGACCATAGATCTAGTGAAACATCTAAATACCATTAGGGGGAATGAACATATCATTGGATTGGTTTAAGGGAAAACCTACAGGAAACCATGGTTTTTACCATTAGATATGGGGGTTTCCGGTTAAAATTTTCCCGTAAACCAATCTAATGAACATACAGTTACCTTCCCAGCTATTTTGCTGTGAATAGAATCCTGAGACGGGGATTCCAATGGTTTTGACTCAGGCCCATACCCTCTAGTAAATTTTTTATTTTCCATAATATATGGGATAATCCTTCCCATTGACGAACTCATATTTTTCAGAGGGGTTATTTCAAGGTGTCTCGGTTCAAGTCCCCCCGTTGATCTGGACTGAATCCGAAACCCTAGTGGGCACTTCGGTGTAGTTGCCCACGGGTCATAGTGCTGGAGCAGCCCTCACTGTCATTAACTTGGCTGACGGCTGCTTTTATCATCCACTTTTGACCTTTGCCTTACATTGGACCTTGCTATTGTGGCCTACCTGATCAACCTGCATATTCAACATCGATTTCTCTGTTGATTTAACCTCTTGGTTGGGAGGCGTGAACCTATAACAAGTGCTCCAAACACTAACTGGCTTCTGCAGTGAGCCCATCACTGGACTTTGTTCAACTCAATCGTTGCGGGCCTTCTTACTTGGATTTCAGGTGCATGAGCGGCGCCCTTGCTGTGCGAGGTCTACTTTTCGCATTACTGTTATTTCAAGTTTTTGTGATTGGAAGCTACGGCAACAACAACTCAAAGAAGAGCTCAGCGTCGTGCAAGAGCCAGAGCAAGGCAGTTACTGCATTTGTTCAAAATTGGGCGGCTGAACATCAGCAAGCAACAGTTTTTCAAAGCAATTGCACGTTTGCGCCAGCACCATTCCCGAGATCCGACTGCATTAGCCCTTCTCCAAGGCAAAATGAATACATCAAGCCTGGCGATGTGCTACTTGCATGAAGGTGTGTGTGGCAAAACACATCAATACTGCGGGGTCTGTGGCAAATCCTGGCATCTTTGTGCGGACCCAACTTTTGGGACGAACAATGCACAAAGACAAGTCCAATGGTCATACACTGCTGGATGGGAGCCCGAAGCCGATTGGGAGGATCAACAATGGCAGCAGCAAAGACAGCCATCATGGTCCAAATCTCCAAGGAGAAGACAGACACCCCGCAGGAGACCCAACAGAAGAAATGGCCAAAAAGCGGAAACCGAGACCGCTCAATCAGCCAAAGGAAAAGGGAAAACGCAGCTGGCAGATCCTCCAATTGGACCGCCGCCTCTTCCCAGCATGTCGCCCGGAGACACACCATGGCTCACTCCTTTGGCGCAGGCTCCACAGCAAGTGACAAATCACCCAGTGCCAAACCCAGAAGAAAAGCAATTGAAAACGCTCATGGCAATGCTCAAAAAGCACAACGAGACTCTGCCTCCGGAAGTCCAAGCCATGCTCAACGATGCAGAAATGAAAGATGGACATGCGGAAACCAAGCAACTTCACTCAGCAGTTGCAGCGCATGGGAGAGCCAAACGAGACCTCCAACAAGCGCGCCTGGCCCATTTCCATCTACATGCTGCATGGCGAGGTTTCCTTACGCAAGCTGTTGCCCAATGGAAAGGCTACAGCGACCAATTTGTAGAGCAGGAAAAGCAGCTCACAGACAGAGTTCAGAAAGCCATGGAAGCCTTGGAACAAGCCCGAGAAACCCTAGCTACAACCAAGTCAGCCGCCGGGGTGGAATCCCGGGAAGATGCCATGAGCGACGAAGAAACCGACAAAACAACCAAGGAGGTAAACTCCAATGCTGCCGACAAGATCAAAGAAGGAATCACCAACTTGCACACAAGTTTAGAAGCCCTGCGTTCTTCCGCAGACCAAATGGTCGAAGACGAGCAAAAAGCGTTGAAAAGACCCCGTCTCGATGGAGTAAGAGGGGAATCATCAAATGCCTTGCCACCGGATGGGCCCAATTTTGGATAGGCCGAGCTAATATTACAGATCAAAATATTGCTCACTGGCCCCATGATCCCTTCAGCAGCATTGACCCTTTGGTTTTCAAATGGAATCACTCAGTTTTGCAATTAGAGGATTTCATGTCAGAATGGGAAGCCCAAAACCAAGCCTTTCACCTTGCCTTTGAATTGCAGGTTCCGTTGCACAGGCACAGTATGCATGCCCATCCAGATGCCCAAGGTCTGAACGAAGTTTCAAACCGTGTTCATGGCAATTCATTGAGCTTTCACCGGTTTCACCAATGCGTCAGTTTTCATCCCATTGTGGAAAGTTTTGTGGAATACCCTGAGGGCATGCGCTACTACCAAAGTGTCACTGTTCCAGGTTTGCCTCAGCTATATTCGAAACCATGGAGGGTGCCATTGATGCAGCTGTCGTTGGACAAAGAGGTTTGTAACCCTGAGTCATGTAGCATGCCACAGTTTTGGTCTGAAGGTTCTCACGATGTCGTCCATGAGTCCATGTTCAGGTCTCTTGCTCTTGACCGACCCGTTTTGTCCCTGGGTCCCAGTTTTGATCATGATGCCGAACCTGTACAGTGCCCACATTTACAATCCCGGCCTGAGCCATCGTCAACGCCAGTGTGGTCCAGTAGGTCCGAAGATGCCCACTGTGTCCCCCAAGGGTCTGTTGTCCACAAAAGCTCATTGCCCAAAAAGCCCTGCACTGCCGCCGATCAGCATCCTTTTTTCAAGACTCATCTTGTACAGGCCTCCGAAAATGCAGACCACCACCACTCCACAGTGCCAATCACTTTCAGACGTGACTTTGAAAGCCCCATTGCGCATCTGCGACAGACTGATTCCGATGCAGAAGATGAAAGAGCAGATCTACCCGATCCAGATCCCACTGGCCCTGCTGATGCACTTTTTATCCGAGAGCTAGCAGCCAATTTTGGGGATCTAGGGATCAACATCCATGATGCCAACTTCAATGTACCGCTTAGATCATGGTTTTTAGATCATGCCACCATCCGTCAATGGTTTGCACCGAGAATCTTCCACTTGCAAGGTCCCCCACAAACATGGGAAGACCAGATTGTGGCCGCATGGCGTGACCAACTTGATGACGATGAATGGTTTGACGTGTCAGTGATTCAACCGTCACCACCAAGACCTCCACATCATAGTGCAGTAATCCTTGATGTTGTCATTGCCCAGTCAATTCACATCCACAGGTATGCAGGCTTGGTCACAGTGATTCCTGGAAGCAACATGCGATTCCAGATGTATTCCGTAGCCATCAGTTTCTCTCCCCAAATCTCTGGCAATGACATCATTCGAGCCGCCGATGCCTCACCCATGTGTCGTTTTCGTAGATGCACCATCACCCACCGTTGGCAGGAGATTCCCGTATCCGACCATCCGGTTCATGGTATGTCACATGGTAATTCATTTCATGTTACAATCCATGCCAACCCCAGCCAGGATGATCAGAGGAAGAAACGTCGACAGTTTTACACATCAGCTGCAAGCTCCTCCAGTAGTGCCCTGCCAGATCTGCACCATGCACATGCAGACTTCTCCGGTGCTCCTGCCAATCCAGCTAGCAGTGCAAGTTCATCCAATGTTCCACCGCAGCAAGAGACTCCCGATTGCCAATGTGATTTTTTCCATGAAGAAGACGTTCATGCCGCGCAGACTGTCCTTCATGTTTTTCAACTTGATGGTCCCACCCATACCGTCACATTGTCAGCATCGCATGGGATATGTGTATCCCACACTGTGTCTCAAGCCATTGCAGTGCCCCTGAATCAACTTGAGATTTTGCACCAGGTCCCCATTCGACCAGCTGACATCCCCAGAGGTCAGCATGCTGTCATTGCCCAAAGGACCGGTGACATTGAATACAACCAGAATTACAAACTGATTTTAATTGACATCAATTATTATCACCATCCTGCTCATACAGGTCACTTGTCCCGTCCGACCCAAGTGCGCCTTGTTCAACCAGCACCTGAGCAGGTTCTCAGAGACGGCCTCCTCCTCATTGCAGCTGTTTGGCATTACTGTAGGTCTCCTTTTGCTGTATGTACAGTTCAGTTGGATGGACACCTCTGGCCAGTCACTGACCAAGCACCCAAGCGTCTCTACCATGGATCCTATGCCATCATCGATGTCCAACCACCTCAGGGATTCGACGTTGACGCTCAAACCGCTTCACAGGCCCTTGACCGAGATGCATCCTCACACTTTGATGTCATTCAGGATCTCCTTGAAGCGTCACCTGACCAGGATGATTCCATGCTTGTGAAAATGACCATGCAAACGAAACTGCAGCCATCAGCACCTGCCCATGAGCAACTCACGCAGGGAGAGGTACCGCTGTCTTCACAGGCCGTGTCGAACCCACTGCTCGTTGCATTGCCTAGGGATCCCTACCTGTCACATGATCACTGTTTCCCAATCCATGAGGGCTTACCCCCAGCCATTGCCGACAGTCCCATGCAGGATGAGGTGCTACCGTCAGATGACTCTGTGTCGAACCCCCTGTTAGGTGAAAGTCAGCTGTCCTCCAACGGTGCTCATGTGTCCAAACGTTTCGAACCGTCGCCGTCTTCAGGAGTTTCCAGACAGCTCAAAATCTCGACCTTCTTCAAGCCCAAGCAGCAGTGCAAAAGGTCCAAGTCGACCATTGATGCACCACATCGCCAACTCACGATTGATCAATTTTTTCAACAGGTACGTAGGACTCTGCCCGAAGTGCCTCTGCCTGAGCAACCTCGTGACATACAGCCTCAGTCATCACCTGTCCTTAGTCATGTTGCAGAACCATGCCAAGATAGGTGCAACGAAAGCCAAACTGTGGAAGCACCCTCCTTCATGTTCAATGCCCCCACGGGCCATCAGCCACCACTGCCACCGCAGCGGGACCGCCACTTATGGAGGCTTGACTTACAAACACGCTTTGAAGAGTTGTCCCACACAGAAAATGCGGCAATAGGACCAGTCCTTTATGTGCAAGTGTGGTACATCCATCATGCTCGACATGCTACATGTCCAATACCAAAGCTTGTCCGCCTGGAAGACACCCCGGAGACCTGGTTTGCAGACCTTGTCAATGCATGGCGAGAGCAAGTGCAAATGGATGAGCCACTCACCATTGAGGTCGTCACTCCTTCACCGCCATACTCCTTCCAGGAACATGCTGAAATTCATATCATGTTAGAGCAACAAGGAGGGCCAGACGTTGTAGCACTTGTTTTCACCGCTGCCTTCCATGGAGGCCACAGGCTTGGCCTGTTCCAGGTAGCTGAATCCATGCCCAATCGTATTTGTGCCCGCACTCTCATTCAGAAGCACAACTTCCAAATGTTCTGTGATTTCCGGCCGTGCAACCTCTTCTCTGGCAGGCTGCGGTTTGAACACGACTTCCCAGAAGAAGTTCCCTCCGGCATCAGTGTTTTGCTTGACGTTGGCAGTGTCACAGATGCCGCCAGCTCCACTGATGCGGCAGTAGGAGCCCCTGATGCAATGAGTCTGATGCAGAGTGGTCCATCCCAAGCCACACCAACAAGGGCTAGCCCTCGCCAGAGTCCAGTCTCATATGCCAATGCGGCTACAACCCCGAGAGGTCATAGTCGTGCCCAACCGCTCACATCTGGAACTGCAACAGCGACAACAGATCTGCCCGCACCAATTCTCAATGGTTTCCGGCTCCAAATCACAAACCAACGAGAATTCCATGATACCTTGCACTGGCACCTGCACCAGCACCAACGAGGTAGAGACAGCGTGGCAGCGCCATCATTCAGCTTGGCAACATGGTTCTCTGACATCGACCGGCTGCCCAGGTCAGACCATTACAGGCAAGTCAATGTACCTATCTCTCCAGATCATTGGGTTTCAGCCATCGTGCAAAGATGGCATGACTTCCTTGATCCCACACATCCGATTGAACTGCATCTAGTCCAGCCAAATCCCCTGGACTCAAATCCTGACATCCTTGGCCATGTAGTATTAATACAGCGCCAGGTAGAACACCTTCGGACAGCTCTGATCACACTCTCCGACTGGAATGATGACCCATGGCAGCCTTCACACACATGTGCAATGTTGTCCACAACTACGTCCTATGAGGAAATCATCAAAGTCGCCCTTGTGGTCTCGTCCTGTCCCCCGGTTCAGCCGCAGGCCCATTGCCACGTCAGCCACGGCCACATTGAACTTGCCCCAGGTATGACCTTCCCAGTCCGTAATGGATACGGATTTGAAGTTGCTGCCGCCATCGACGATGAATGCGAGGCGTTTGATGCTGCTGATTCCCTTGCACTGATCCAATTGTCCTTTCAGACGATCCGGACATCCATCAGCAGCCTTGCTTCCAAAGTTGCACTGTCATCTGACAGTAGTGCCACGTCCATGCCCCCAGCATATGAAGATGAAGCCAGTGCACCACCCATCCTGGCTCCACCCGTATCTGCGCACTCAGGCTCATGGTCTCAGCTTGTCCAGGAGCTGCAGCCACGTTGGGCCGTACATGCCAGTCCTATTGCGACCAATGCGGAACTTGCTGCCACGGTAGTAGTATGGTATGTCGATCATGTCCGCTGGCCTCAGTGTTTTGCTCCACGGCCAGTTTTTCTTTTCCAAGACCCGGCAGAATGGGCCACCCTACTACGGCATGCTTGGAGGGATGCAGTGCTGCCAGATCATGAATTGCTCATGCATGTGGTACAGCCAGGCCCGGAGGAGCCTGACCCAAACGTCATGGCCCATATCCTCCTCACACAACAGGCAATCCCACGTTTCTTCTCGATCCTTGTCTCAGCCTATGACAGTGCTGTTCCAGGACTTGCCAGAATGCATGCCACCATGGCTCCAGACCCGCTGCCACGAGACACCCTTTTTGCCCTCACATACTTGGACCGAGATTGCAATCATGTCCGCAACACCTGTACCGCTTGGCAGGGTGCACAAGAACTTCATGATGCCCAGGCTGTCCCCCTGCAACATGGTATGTCCTTTGTTGTGGCCATCCATCGCCAAGGTGAAATCCTTCCGGCCGACATGGATCCATGGCAATCCACGGTCCTTCCAAACAGTGGACACCCTGTCACGCTCAACCTACAGGCAGCGCTTCCAGACCACAGGAACAGGCCAGCGGAGCTCACATGCCTGGATGACTCTCTCCCACAACTCCTGTGGTTTGAAAATGACGCATGGCTTAGAGAACTCTCAGCTGCCCCCAGTATCCATATGCACCCCCTGCCTGATGGATTCATTGTTCCCCCAGCCACTTATTGGGAACTGGTAAATCCTGCACGCTCATGGCCTTTGCAGGGACCCAAACACTACTCCATCTATGTTGATGGGTCAGCCAGTCAGGTCCAAGCTGCATGGGGTTTGGTGCTCACTGAACATAGTGGCGAACACGAGTCCTTTGTTGGGTGTACATATGGGTCTGTTGAACTTGCCCCCGACCATCCAGCCTGGCTCGGTGCTACCACGACCGACAATATCGCAGCAGAGTTAACAGCAATGATCGTTGCTCAACAAACAGTGTTGAGATGGCACGAGGATGCTTCCTTCACAGTTCGCCCAGATCTGACCCTTAGTCGCCTCCTTGCCCAGGCCATCACTGTATGCAAATCAAATCGGATCCTTGCCCAGATCTGCCAAGCACAAGGACTATGGTTGTCCAAACGCATGACAATTCATGAAGTGCGCGGTCACACCTCCCACCCATGGAATGATCTTGCTGATGCCCTTGCCAAATGGGCCCTTACCAACGACCCGGTCTTTTCTGACCAGGAAGCAGCGCCTCTGCACCACTTTGCTCAATGCCCGCATGACGTTCAGTGGTCGTGGATGCAGACAACACATCCCTCCATGTCGGCCTGCTTCCCCCCGTTGCTCGACCAGCAAGTCATGCAGATCACACAGTCCTCCAAGACCTTGGGAACCACTCCCATAGAGCAGGAGTTGCTTCACACACAAGCCACCGAGACTGTGCCACTTCAGCTTCGCATCCAAACCGCCAACGTCCTTGCGACAGAAGAGTGGGCCAGCCACCACCAAGGCACCAAGCGCACTGGCCAGCGCACAGTCCGGCTTGACTCCCAATGGCACAAAGCCCAAATCCACGTCATCGGGGTTCAAGAAGCCCGCACCCCAGCAGGTATCTACCACTCCCCGCACTATACCATAGTTGCGTCAGGAGCCAAGATTGCCAGGGCCCCGCTCTATGGCTGCGAACTCTGGTTACATAAGAGCCTGCAAATTGCCCAGCCACATGATGCCAGCCCTCTCACCCTGGGACACGCTTCCCTGACCGTGCAGCATGCCGACCCTCGACGCTTGTTCGTCCAAGCCCAGGTCGCTCAACTTAGTTTCTTGTTCATTGTCCTGCACACGCCATGTCTCCAAGCGCAGGTTCCAGGACAGCCAGCCCCACTGGATGCCTTAACAGACTGGTGGCAAGAAACGGCCGCCCTCATGGCCAAATTCCGCACTGACACCCTCATGTGGCTCCTCATTGATGCCAACTCACCCCTCAGTGCCGGCAACAATGACCTCGTTGGCCCTGTAGGTGCAGAGCCCATGACAAAACAAGGCGAGCTTTTCTACCACTTCCTTCAAACTCACAATTTGGCAGTGCCATGTACCTTTCCCCACCTGCACACTGGCCAGTCCACCACGTGGACACACACCAGTGGCCGCAAAAGCCGCAAGGACTATGTGCTGCTCCCTGTTTCTGACTTGTCCCTCGTCAAAGCTTCATGGGTTGTAGTTGATCACGACAACAACTTTGCCCACGAGGACCATCTCCCAGCTGCGATATCATTTCAAGGATGGCTGGAGGTTCATGTGGATGACCATGCAGCCATTTACGAGAAGCAGCTTTTGATGCTGGCACAACAACACTTTGCCAAGCCCAAAACAAAGAAACGGGTGATTCAGCTCTCTGACAAGGCCTTACAGGCTGTCGCATTCAAGCGCAACATTCTAGACTGTGGACGCAAATGCAACCTCTTCTCAGACCCTCAGTTCAAACATGAGCTCAAAACAATTGAAAAAGAGGTGGCCAGCCTTGTCCGACATGACATCCAGGCTCACTATGATCACCTCCTCAATACCCTAGAGCAGGCTGGAGAACTAGCCAATCATCGGCTCGTCTACAGGCTCCTCACCAGATTGGGTCGCAAAAAAGGAGCGAAGCCACCCGGCCCCAAACCCCTCCCCATGCTTTGCCTCGAGGATGGTTCCACTGCCACCTCGTTCAGCGCCCAACAACTGATATGGCGTGCTCAGTTCTCCGAAATTGAAGCCGCCATTCCTGTTACCTGGGATGACCTACATGCTGCCAATATCCAGCCGCCACCCTATCAAGGCCTCGATGTCGACCCTGCAGCGTTCCCCAGCAGTTGGACAGTTCACACCCTCCTTTCCAAGCTCAAACGAGACAAAGTGGCCGGCCCCAACCTCCTGCCACCGGCAGTCATGAAAGCAGGCGGTGAAGTGATGTCCCGCCACCTTGCCATTCTCTTTGCAAAAGCAGCGGCCCATGCAAAGGAGCCCCTGCGTTGGAAAGGCGGTCAGTTGATCCCATTATGGAAAGGAAAGGCATCCCCTTCCAGGCCTGATGCTTACCGCTCCATATTTATATCCAACTATACTGCCAAACTCTTCCATCAGAGTTTCCGTCAGCATCTCGTTCGTGCTTGGGAGCCCAACATCACGTGCATGCAGTACGGTGGCAGAGCCTCCCTTGGTGTTGACTTAGCCCACCATGTCCTACAATGCCATCAAGCCTGGACCGCCCAAAAGGGCATCCCTTCGGCCGTATTGTTTGTTGATATTAGGTCGGCTTTTTACACCATTCTCCGTCAAAGCTTCACTGCCCTGCCAAGTGACAATGCGGCTTTCCTCAAGGCCATGACTGCCCTTGGTCTCACTCACGAAGCCATTGGCCGTATGATTCATGCCACGGAAGGAGATGCTGTTGCGGCCCGCCTCTCAACACACATGCAGCACCTCCTGCGAGACCTTATGTCCCAGACATATTTCACCCTACCAGGGCTCCCAGACCCTTCCCAGACCACAAGGGGTACGCGCCCGGGTGACCCTGTTGCTGACATCCTCTTTAACATGTGTATGACGGCCATCCTGGCCGACTTTCATGCCGACATCCACGCCCATGCCAAGCTTCCGTGGCTCGGCCACCAGGCACCCATTCAGGAGTTCACTCCACCATGTGATGTCCCGCTCGAGGCATATGCTGACGTCACCTTTGTCGATGACATCGCAGTGCTGCTGCATGCCCGCACCAATGATCGCTTGATCTTCATGATCCAACAAGTTGTCGAGGCACTAACAACAGCAACCTCCAAGCGTGGCTTAGAGCTGAACCTTGATCGCGCCAAAACTGAAGTCCTCATTAATGTGGTCGGCAAAGGGGCCAAAAAACTCAAGGAAACCTTGCACCTGGCTTGCAACTGCCTCAACTGGACCCCAGCAGATGGCCCCGCCATCTCCCTGCCCACATGTCACGAGTATAAGCACTTGGGTACATGGCTTCAAACCAAGCATCGACACTCCAGAGAAATCATCAAACGGGCCTCAGCAGCTAAGCAAAAATTTGGCCAGCTTGCCCGATCATTCTTCACAAAGAAGATCTCCTTGGAAGTGCGAGCAAAGGTCTTTCAAAGCCTTATTGTGTCCAAACTTCTCTACAACGTCCACACATGGGCAGGAGCCTCCGACAAGGATTTTGCCACCTGGGCCCACCATGCCAAGCCCATGGCTGCCGTGCTGCTCAAAGGAAGGATTGCGAGCACCTCCCGCTTTCAATACACCACTGAGGAGCTTTTTGCGGCCAGTGGCATCCTTCCTCTGCCGGATCAACTGCATGCCCAACGCCTGCGCTTTTTAGCCCGCCTTCTGAAAGCCTGCCCAGCCATCACATGGATGCTCCTGCAGGCCACCTCAGGCCCCAGCTCATGGCTCGCACTGTGCCGTACTTCCCTTGCCTGGCTCTGCCGCCACCATGGGGGCCGCATTCCCCTATGTGCTGATGATCCATTTGAAGACTGGATTTCCTACATCCAGCTCAACCTCAAATGGAAGGGAGCCATCAAACGAGCGAGCTATCATGCCCTGGCTTATCACAAAGCAGCCGCCATCCAGAAGCTATGGCAGCAACATTTTGTCACACGCCTTGCCAGTCATGGCGCCACGCTGCCATCCCCCCCACAAACAGCTCAACATGCCGAACTCTGGCAATGTGAATTGTGTTCCAAAACCTTTGGCTCCACAAGGGCACTAGCCATGCACTCGGCCAGAGACCATGGCTACCGCAAGCAAGCTCGATACTTCGCCACTGGCGACACATGCCAAGCATGCCTGCAGCTCTTCCATAATCGCACTAGGCTGTCTATTCATTACGAAAAGAATCCAAGGTGCTACGATCGAGTCAAAGCATGTTGGCCACCTATGCCACAAACAATGGTGGAAGCATTGGACATTGCAGACAAAGAAGCAGACATGGCTCTCAGAAGGGAAGGATGGTGGGCGTCAAAAGCAATCTTTCCTGCCTTGAAGCTAGCTGGGCCACAGCTTCCCCCAGCACCGAGCCCTGAAGCCGACGCCATGTGGCACAAAATGCAATCACGCCGCCCGAGTGACATGTTAGCCTTTGAAAATCTCCATGGTCGAAGGATCACATCCAAGTCGTCCAGCAACCCTCGGCTGTGGTGGCAAACCAGCGACCTCCCAGCTTTTGTGATGCAGTCCCCTGCTGGAGTGGATCGCGGCAATGGGGAATACTCCATGTCAGGACTGGCTCGTGAAATCGCCATGCTTCATGTGAGAGCGTTAGTGGTGGTGCATTTCTTCAGCGGCTTCCGCCGTGATGGGGATATTCATGCTATCATCGACCAGCAGGTCACAAAATCCGGAACTCAAGTTTTTACTCTTTCCGTAGATTTATGCATGCAGAGGCAGCACGCTGACCTAGCTCGGCCAGGAGCTCTTGCGTGGTGGAAAGACCGTGCTGCTGCAGGACAGCTTGTATGCGCAGGCGGCGGGCCGCCTTGTGAAACATACACTGCGGCCCGCTTTCATGCTTTGCAAGATGGGCGTGGACCCAGACCGCTTCGTTCAGCCACCGATCCCAACGGCCTTCCTGATTTAACCAGAAAAGAGCAGGCCCAAGTATGGATTGGAGATTGCCTCCTGCGCTTTCTCATCGACATCCTGTCCATCCTTGCAGCCCACGGCATGGCCGGATTTTTAGAGCATCCGCAATTTCCAACCTGGTGTTGCGATCTCCGACCTGCAAGCGTCTGGGCGATGGACTCTATCCGGCTTTTGAAAGGCCTCAATTGCGTTACTATCGTGAGCTTTGATCAATGCATCTGCAGCGCACTTGGAAAAAAACCAACTACCTTGCTTCTCCTGCGACTTCCTCAGGTGAGATCACAGTTGATGAAACTTGGGCGCCAAGGACGCTGCCATCACTTGCCGAAAGCACACGATGCGCTGATTGGAAAACAGGACAACGGCCTCTATCAAACCGCCAAAGCCAAGATATATCCCCCTGGCCTTAACACCATCCTTGGCACTGCGATGTTTGAGTTTGTAGCCGGCCTCCACAAACCTGGCCTTTCACATTGCCTTCCCGATGAGTTTCACCCCTATACTGTCCAGAGTTTTGAGGATGCAAACGTCATCCAACCAGATTACCACGGTCTGCGTTAAACCTGGACAGTCAGCATGTCACCCGGGTGCCATACAGGCGCAGCAGCAGGAATGGAAAAATGGGGTTATTTCAACCACCAACCAGACATTTTGAATAGGTAAATCAGGTAAATCATTTATAAATGAATCATTTCCCTTTTCGCGATGGGTCATGACCAAAGGGTACCCACAAGCTGTTGATCTGCAGGCAGTTTCAGATTCGTTTTTTTTGGTTCCCACTAGGTGAAAATAGGGAAAACACTATGTTTTTTAGCCGTACAACATGGTTATCCCCCATGAGAAACGGAGGTTTTAATGGGAACATATGGGAAACTATGGGAAAATCTCTACAAATGAAGTTTTTTCAGGCTTGCTTTTCTTTTAGGTGTATCAATCCCAGAATTGGTTTTTCGAGGTGGTTTTGGGTTTTTATGGACAGGAAAAGGACTTAGTTTTCCATGGTTTTCCGTAGATCTTCGAGAAATTCATCATGAAACAACGGAACAATTCGCCAAGCTTTTCTGGTGCGTTTTTTGATGGGGATATCTCCGGGAGATATCGAGGGAGATCAAAAAAATATCGATGATGAACGGTTGGTGGTTTTAAACATTTTTTTTATTTTCCATAATATATGGGTGTGTCTGAAAATAGTGTACCCCTAAACCCAATGGTTTTGCTGATCATTATCCCTACTAAATGGCTATTTGTTTGGGAATATACCCTATTTTCAGACAAACCCATATATATATATTAATTACTATCCAGTGGTTAGGAGAGGCACTTTGGTCCGAGACTTCCCAGTAGTTGCTAGGCTTCAACAGACTTCGGACCCTTTGATTCTCGCATTCCCATGGTCCTTCGGATCGATTCACCATACGTTGTTATTCCGGTGCAAGACCCATACTGGAGAGAAAGATGTTGTTTACTGGCTACTCACCTTGAGCTTGCCCTGCATCATTGCTGGCGGCAAGCTTGCTCGGAGTATGCTGGTATGTTTCCAGGTGACCTACCAGAGGCTACTGGGCAACCCATTAGCTTGGCATCTGGTTTGCTGTCCGATGATACAGTTTCAGGATGTAATCTTGGCGTTGACATATGCCAAGGCCACGTCACAGAGGAATGTGAGCCCAAAGGCGAGCAGCCGGTTCTTTCCAGCCATTGTGCTGGGGCCAGCTTGCTGCAGACAAGTTTCGATGACGAGTTGCTTGAGCATTCTATGCAGGTTTTCGCTGCTTTGTCTCAATTCAAGGTGGTGGACTTGCAAGTTGATTGGAGCTTGCCAGGACCGGGGTTTGTCACAACCAATGCCCTTACCATGAGCAAGCCTAAATTACAAGAGCAACCAGCCCCAGACAACTACACTGTGGGTCAATGTGTATTGCTGTCTGGTCTCAGCATGAAAGGATTGAATGGAGAAGTGGGCGTCGTCACCAATCGATGTTCAGCCTCCAAGCGGTATGGCGTGAAATTGGCTAGTGGTCGATATGTTGCTGTTCGGGCCTGTAACATGGCCCTCCTTGCTGGAAGTTGTGCTGCAGATCCTTCTGCCAGTTTCGCCTCCAGACCTAAGGGTACAACTGATCTGCCAAAGTCACATGAAGGTAGTTACACTGCAAATGAACGGTCTTATCCTGGGAATCCAGGGGAACTTCAGCTCGGGCAGTCAGTGCGGCTGACAGGTCTCTCTGATGCCAACCTCAATGGTCAAGTTGGTCGTGTGGCCACCACTCTGACTCCAGCTGAACGCTATGGTGTGAAAATGCCATGCGGCCGACACATCGCTGTTCGACCGCGCAATCTGAAATTGGTTGTGAATGAGATTGACGGAGAGGACATCTCAGTGGAGAAGACGCTGTTTCGGTTTCCACCAGGCACAGCCAAACCCTTCACCTACTGAGTATTCCTGTTGCCAAGATTGTGTAGATGCCTGCCTACGGTACAGTAGCAATGGAAATTGCTTCAGTTCGAGTGACATTGCAAAGTAAAGTTGACCTGCGTTTGATCATCAAACGCCAGATTTAATTTTCTACTAGTCTACTTTCATACACTGGAGCGCTCAGTGCGTTTCTGAAAATCCATAGCTTGCTGCAAGGCACCCAACGATTACGTTACATTCGGGCACTTTGCCTTCCAAATTATTGATGCATATGCCTCCTCGAGGCAATTCATTTTGGTGCATGTGGTACGAAATATCCGACCACACGCATCCCCAATACAATTGGGACGAAACGCAAAAGACGCAAAAAATCCAGTGGTTAGGAGGGAGCTAAGGAGCTATGGGTATTCATATTCCCTATTAAATGGGGAGCTCAGGAGCTACCAAGAGTTTCCCAACCACATACTAGTAATATATGGGACGTCATCCTTCCCATTGACGAACTCGTATATTTTTCAAGATGATGTCTCAACATGTTAAACGCACCAGAAAAACCTAATCGAAACTCATCATTTCTCGTCCTTAAGTCAATGAGAAATCCAGATGTTTCATGGTTGAAGAAGCCATTTTTTCTTCGCCTTGTGGCATCCCTGCAGGGCTCGGGGCATGCGGGGACCTCGGGCAGCGGTATGCCGCAGATGTACGGCCCTGTGCCTCGATGGAAGCCGCGGTTCCGTTGAGCCAAAAATAGACCTGGTGATATCATGAATGGGATGATCCAATTACTAATTCTGGTATAACTATAAGAATCAGTATGTATATATATATATTTATATACTAATGTTATATATTATTTAATTTATAGAATATATAGAATATATATATACATGTGTATATATATATCATGATGATAGTCTCACGATGATAATCGCACAATGGGATGATGTATCCTTGGGATAATCGTAATAGTACACCATGATGATTTGCCATAATGCCATAATGAATGGAATTGAATGTTTGGATATCATACGGATATGATTGCCATGATGTATCATGATGTATAAGAAGATATGATCATATATGATCAATACCCCTAAAAAGATGCCAGAAAGTGCCCTAATCCAAGAGTTTGCTAGGTAAATCATGAAGAAACTAGTCACTTTCCCAAAAAGATGTTCCTGGATTTACCACTAAAATATAATAGGATGTTACCATCTGGTTATTTAACATAGCGAACTGGAAAGATCCACCATTTTTATTCATTTTTAAGTTCGGTAAACCATCTATTTCTATGGGCCATCTATACCGTGGCTATGTTAGTCATAGCCAGAGGGTAGTTAATAGTAATAATCATTCACTATCATTGGGGTTTACTATCATTCACTATGTTAACAATAACCAAATGGTACGAATAAATTTACCCTCTGGTAAACTAACATAGCTATTGAAGCCATGGCCATAGAAATAGTTGATCTACCCATTAAAAATGGTGGTTTTCCAGTTCGTTATGTAAACGTTTACCAGAGGGTAGTAGGATGTTTTTCCAACTTTTTCTGGGGTTTTCTACAACGATGGCACATTGGGATAGTCATCATTGGTCATCAATCCATTGATGGTTTTTTTTTCGACGCTTCGTCGCGGTAACCCAAAGGGAATGAGAACGCCAAAGGGTTGGAAGGAAAGAGGAATCATATGTGAGGTTTTCATATCATCTACCCTCTGGTAAACGTTTTCATAACTATAGAAGATCACCATTTTTAATGGGAAAACTCACTATAAATGGCCATTTTCAATAGCTATGTTAAATTACCAGAGGGTATAGCAGTTTTCTTTGGGCCTCAGAAATCATAGAAGAAGATGTGATAGTATCCAGGCATCAAACATGGCACCCACGGGACTGAAATGGAGGTTGCTCGAGCTAGGAAGTGAATTTTCTATGATAGTTTATAGCTGACAGGTTATAAATATACAAATTTATGATAGATGATTAATGATGATTAGTTTATACCCCAAATCTCCCAGAAATAGAAGCTTTTATAGCATAAATATAGCATAAATATAGCATAAATATAGCATAAATGATGGTATTTTCCAAGATTGTCCATTCCATGTTTGATTTTCCCAGTTCGGGAAAATCGATCCGAAATTTTATCGATCCGTTGACAGGAATTGGGGATCATCAAAAGATGATTCTGATGAGTGATTTTGATAGAATGGAATGATATTGGTTAAGTGATGTTATGGTATGTTCACTGGTGATTTGAACTTATGTTCACTGGTGATTCTTGATGTAAGAAAGGATGTTATGTGATTTTGTAAGCAAGAACAAGTGGGGAATGAACATCTGGAATGAATTGAATGGACACCTTGCATTTCACGATGCTGAGTTTGTTGGAGATAGTTTGCCTGTAGATGAGATGGATATGTACGTTTTCCGAAATGGGATTTCCCCAAAAATATGGATCAAATAAAAGATGATCGCAATTTCATTGGATATACTTCACTATGGTATGTAGTTTACTGATCAGTCAACGTTGGTGATTGATGGCCATCAAACTGGGTATTTTAACCATTGAACGTTGGGGGTATTTTAAGCAACAACGGGGATATCTATGGCACTATGGGTCCAAAAAAATGGGATAGGCCATTGATGGCCATCAAAACCGAACCCTGGTTCATCATGGTTTATGACTTAGGGAAATGGGTATGGGTCAATACCTATAGATACATTTTTAGTGGGATGAACATCCATTTACCAGCTATTTTGGGGTTCACTAGGTACCAGGGTTTTGACACACTGCCAAATCATCCCCATGTGAGGCGGCAAGATTCAGGTGAGTGAAATATTATGAAAGATTACCCAGATAGATGGTCCCCATTTTCTTAGTAGTCTTCAAAGCACTATTGTAATCCCACGGCTAAAATCCCATCTTTAAAAATGTGTTTTGTTTCACAATCGATATCCCATCATTAAAATTGGCCAAATCCACCCATGAATTCCCAACGAGAAAAAACCAACATGTGGGTGAAACGATCTCAATTCTTCTGGCTTAACCCCCATGATTTCCTCCATGTTTTCCCGATGGACAGCAATGTAGCTGAACCACAGCTCAGGTGGAAAATCGTGTGTATGTCAGCAACTTGTCAGTGTCTCAGATCTCGCCTTGTTAGGTATGCTGTGTGTGAACACCAACTGGATGGGTTCTATTGTTATTTCCATTGCTTGGGATACTAAGTGGGGTATATCAATATGTTAGTGCAACATATGGGAATATATTAAATTGTGTTTATGAATTCGTACTACAAAGTACAACCAAATGGGGATACATTCGTGTATTTTACACGAACCAGCTAAAGAGGATTGGCCATGGTCAAAGTTTTTTGTCAGCAGACTGTAATCCTGGGAGCGTCTCTCTCTCTCTCTCTCTCTGTACATATATATATATTTGTATACATATATTAAATGTATATACGCATATGTGTGTATGTATATTTACCTGTGGCATCCATTTGGGGATTGAGAATCAGAACCTCAGTTTTCAAGGTGAAAGAATCAAATGGAATATAAGAATGAACAGGATATTTAGCATGTATAGCAGCAGTATTTGCAAATCTAAAATCATAGTATAGAAAAATATGTTTCATATGAAACTATTCATATTGTATGCTTTTACACAATCCTGTTGCAACGAATGATTCATACAATTTATCCATATTTCATGGATTGTTCATCATGGTCCATCATACTGATCACATATACGTTGATATACGTTGATATATGTGTAGTAAGGTCCAATACAATATCAGAAAATATTCATTGATATGCATATTAATATATACAATATACAGTATACCCAACAATGCTCATTTTCCGATAATTTTTACAAAACTCATCATTTCTCCCATTCTTTTGGCTGTTTGGTATACCCTTTAACGGTAAAGAAAAACAGCAGTGCGAAGTGGAACATCACGGATCATCTTGCAGGGATCGGTTGATACTATCAGCGAAAACCAATCCCAAAAAAAAAGCAAAACCCAATCCAAACCTCAATTAGACAAAAGCAAACAAAACAAAACCAAAAGCAAAAAAAAACAAACTATTTGTTTTCACTTTTTTTTCGCGTTGTTTTCGTTTTTTTTGTTTTTTCGTGTTTTTTTTCTTCGCCTTTTTTTCCTTTTTTTTCTTTGAAAAAAAACGAAAACAAATAGTTTTCTTTTTTTTGCTTTTGTGTTTTTTCTTTTTTTTTCTAACTTAGGTTTGGATTGGGTTTTGCTTTTTGTTTGCTTTTTTCTAATTTAGGTTTGGATTGGGTTTTGTTTTCTTTTTGCTCTTTTTTGTTTTTTTTCTAATTAAGGTTTGGATTGGGTTTTCCTGTTTTTTGTGTATTTGGTTTTGTTTTTTTTAGTTCATTTTATTTTTCTATTGTTTTATAGAAGTTGCCTGTAAGCCGTGTCACAACTATAGCTATAACCATAGTTACAACCATAGTTGATGGATATTAAACCGAATGAATTGATGATTCTCTAACTCAAGGGTCATAGTTATTAATCTGGTTGGTGGTGACTGGAACATTGGTGAAATGTATGGGATAATGATGGTTAATGATGGTTAATAATGGTTAATAATCACTAGTTGGTGGTTTGGAACCATGGATTTTTTTTTTATGACTTTCCATTCAGTTGGGAATGGAATAATCATCCCAACTGACGAACTCTAATATTTTTCAGAGGGGTAGGGCTCAACCACCAACCAGTAATGGATATTAAAATTACTAAACATATGGATATTATCTATATTAAGTTATATTTTATAAACATATGGAACTATGTTATCTATAACATAGTTATAGCATCCATAGGTGCTCCTCATAGATCAGCTTCAGGCCCTGGGACGTTACCTGGCAACAACTCAAGGAGCTGCCTGAGTCGGTGCTGTTTTTCTTTTCCAAGTTGTGACTGGATTTGGCCATGAAACATCGTCAGAAATAGGCCTTTAGCCGTTTTTTCCCAGTTTTTGGATT